ATATTTTTCACCAGCCCAAGCCTCGGGAGTGCACAAAGGAGGCCTCATGCCTCATCTTTGTTCAGCACTGCCCACATTGCTTTGCAGGCTCAGCGTGCTCAACCTTTGCTTTTGGCCTGGTCCTTCGTGGGAGGCCAGAGCCCTGTTTCATTCCAATTTTTACGGAATGCTGGACCGGGTAGTTTATATTGCGGTGCGTGACAAGGTGGCAGATGTATGCATGCGTCATGTGAGTCAGTCCTGCCCTGAACATGGCCTGAGGTACTCCAAGCATCGAAGAAATGCAATCCAGATTGAACTGGAGGAGGAGGAGGTGGTGCGTAAGTTCACGCTTTGCTTCATTTACAGTATCTACTTCGAAGGCCATATGCTAACATTTTTGCTACTTTGAGATGCTCTTTTCATGAACAACGGGCTTGTGACAGTTGCAGGAGCTGCCTGAGGGAGACTACTGTGCGGTCGTGCTAGATGAGACCACACCCCCGCAAGATCAATGGACCCAAGTCTCCCAAGATACCAACAAGAAGCTCAGAGACACCCTTTTGGCAGCTACTTGCCTATACGTTTGTGCTTCATGGTGCAGCGCTGTTTTTGGTAACGTAGCATGTTCCTGAACCTCTCACATTGGCAAAGGTTGTCTCCTACATCCTTCCCGTGGTCGGGCCGGCGTTTGCGCCACACGTCTTCAACTCGTGCGAGCGTGAACGCTGGGTGCTTCGAATATTTTTCAACCATTGCTTGGGCATGAGCTCGAGGTTTTGGCAGTGGAAGAATATCCTGGCAGTGCCTCTTGGTGGCAAACATATTGGACGAAATTAGCATTTTTGTATATTTTTGTTGGTCACTGCAGGGTCTTGAACATCACCGCAAAATGCTACTTGAGATGGCAAACAGCTTGAGCCTGGCACCGGGAGATTTCTCAGGAACCATTATCTTCTCGGAGATGAGCGCCAACTCCTCGAGCTGATGCAGGCAGTTCTTGTTTTGTGAAGCAGCTCCGACTGAGCACAGCCGAAGTTTTGGTTGGTGAACGCGCAGAAGTTCATCTTCAAGGATGGATCAACGCGATATTTAAAGAAAATCCTAAAAATCTAGAAACCAAATCACTAGTGCGAGCGCTTCTTCAAGGAAGCTCCCCCCGCCCTCAGGCGGGGGCGCTTCCTTGAAAACGTGTGAGCTATCCTGTATCCATATGTAGTAGCTTAAGTATATAGCTAGGATCTTACTCCGTTACTAAATGAAGTAGTAGGCGCCGGCTTGATTAAGTAACGAGGCAGGGTTATGGGCCCCTTAAGGGATTTTGCAAAGACCAAGCACGTCGAAGAGCCAGAGGGCTGTACTGGGCCGCCTAGCCGCTAGCCTTAGCCACAATTGGCGCGAGAAATTGGCAGGATTCTCCTCAAGCCTCATCGGCACATCCTGCGCTAGCCAGTTTCAGTCTGTCAACATAAGTTTGAGACTTGGGGAGAGGCTAGAAAATATGATGTTCAAACAGGTTTATTTTGTTTCTATTTTTTAAATATGAACATTTTATGAAGCGCATTTATGAACAAAAAAGTATTGTTTTTTATTTATATATAATTTATGATTATTTTATAAACATTTTATGATTTGTCGTGAACAATTTTTATGATTTTTCATGGACGCAACAAATGTTCATAAAAAGTTCATACAACATCATAAAACTTGCGATGTTTTTACGTTCTTTTGGGGATTCTCAACAATCGTACAAAAAATCATTTCAACACTCATAAATGTATGAACATTTTATGAAAAACTATGTTTATTTGAACGACAATTTTATGAACACATTTATGAACAGAGTATTTTATGATTTTTCCGATTTTCTGAGTTGGTGAACATCCATAAAAGAAGCATAAATAAAGCATAAAACAAGCATAAACTAATCATAACATAAATCACAAAAATCATACACATTCATTGACATTTTATTAAAAAATCAACACATTCATAAAAATGGAATCTCCAAAAACTGAGGACCAATTAGTTTTAAAAAAAAGAAATAGACACACAATTCTTTGGCTGTCTTCCTGAGTCTCGAACATAAGTGCCTTTGTGCCACATGATCCTTTTGATACAACCATCCATGTCTCCGATCACGTCCGCTCAAGACTTGGCGACCTGCAGTTTCGTTGGTGCATCTCGCAGAAACTTGTCCAAACCCTACATAAGTGCCAGCATTTGTATGCAACACCTTTCGCAGCAGTTGGATTCCACATTACATCAGTTGGAATTGTACTTGTATAGATTTTTCTGTGTTGCGGCAGGTCACCCTCACACCAGCAACCAATGGAATCGCCTTGACCTTGGGCTGCATGATGTCCTTGTTATGCTCAGATAGTGTCTCAGCCAAGATTCAGCATGGGCGCACCAAAGAGGTGATTGCATCGCTTTCCATCGCCTTTGGCACCTTGACCTCCCTGACCATTTCTTCATTGCGGCAGCGGCAGAAAGAGATCCGGCACCACGGATGCAGCACAGGGCGGGTCACCTTTGTCCTTGCCTTGGTTCGGGGGTTATTTAGTCACCCTAGTCCTTGAGAAAAGGTGGTTCAAACAAAAGTCTGGACGAACCATGTGCAACCGTGCTATTTTTTTCAAGATATTTTTTGTCATTCTGCTCCCAACTGCCTAGTGTGAATAGCTCTTGGCGAAAAAATACATTTCTACAGATGAGCAAAGAGATTTGAGCTCAGCATTGGGTCCTTTCTTTGACGCCACAAGGGATCAGTGACTTGTGACTTACTTGCTTTTTACTTTGAAAACCACACCACTGGCTTGAGCTTTCTCTGAGGCAATGCTTGAACAAAGAGGCTCGTGACGGCTCGTTGGATGCGTCAAAGGCCTTTGAGGGATTGTACTTCGGAGTTTAGAGCCAATGGCAGGCCTGTGATATCCGCCTTTTGCAGGCTCGGCATTTCTTGTACTTCTGAAACTCTCACAACACTCCAGCAAACTTCTCCAACAAGAATGGGAGGCTTTGTTTGTTTCACTATTTCGCCCTGAGCTCACGCCATTGTGAACCATGGTCGCGTAGTCTGAACATTTTTCTCATCCAAGTTTGCATAGCTTCTCAATCATGTTGATACCGGCCCACCATTGCTTGCTCACAGACTGAAGGCCTTAGCGTGGACAAGCGCTGTGGGGAGCGTCGGGCCCTTTTTCATTGCATTTGAGTTTTCTCATATTAATGCACCTGCCGAGCTGCCCCTGGTGACCTTAATTAAAGCTAAGTTGAAATTTGCAATCGACAAAATAATATAATGTTTTCCCTTGATATTTTCGTGATAGCTGCATTGATTGTGACAAGCAAGGTTTACACATGGAGGAGGTGAGCGTCTACCTTCGGTGTCTGGACCTTTTGCAGATGTACGCTGTGCAGACCTGAGAAACCACTGGTTGAATTTGTCACCATGCCACGACGATATCCCAAGCCTTTTAGGCACGCGTTCACTCTGAATCAACATCGAATGCCGACCTTGCTGCCCTGCAGCGGCAGACCGTGTCTGGTCCCTTGCAACAGCTAGGCTAGCTAGGCCAAGGCAGTGGTGCCGCAGTTTGTTTCCTTCAATGTCTTTGAGCAAGTGGAAAAAACACACAAGGCCAGACACAGAGCTCTTGGGCGTTCTGGACTCGCTGATAGTGATTCAACAGCCTCCTCGATTCTCTGCAGATCACCAAGCTACAGCTAGATCAGAAACTTCCAGGAGCTGTGTGCATTGCCCATTGTGGCTCATTTGGTAGAGCCAGTCTGACCGGGTTTTCAGATGCGTCCAGTAAGGTCATGTCTGTTCGAGATGACGTGGCTGTGAGGGTTTCGCGATTGAACGATTTTCGTTCAGACCGCTTGTCCTCACTCAACACTGCGCAACGCTCCCGGATCACCTAGCTGCTAGCTGTAGCTGGATGATGCATGCTGTTTGTGCTTGGGATGTTGATCCTCTTAAGTTGCTCAAAGCCTCAAAGCTGCGTCTGAGGTTTCCACCACTACATTGGGTCGTCTTCCTGGATGTCAATGGTAGATGATCATCAGTTAAGGATAGTTAAGGTGCATGAACTTGCATGGGCACACAGGTCATTCTCGGACTCCTCGCATCCTCGATCACCTTGTGCTTCCTCATCGAGGCACATTTGGCCCTCACAGGATTGCAGTTGGTTCTTTAGATCTACAAAAAGATGCCAAATGTGTTACTCAATATCTTCCAGAGGACCAGATCCTTCCAAGGTGGATCAATCTGAGGGGCGCTTCTTGGCGGAGAAGCCGGCAGACTCTTTGCGCGCCAATCCGAGAGCAGGATGTCTTCCGCCAATAAGCATCAATGAGCGAAAGCCTCGACTGCAGCTTGAACACAACGCATGACCGTGTTGGTGAGGCTTGCGCATGGTGTTCACCCTCATGACCGGCTCTTTCTGTGGTCTCACTGCCCTTTGTGCAGATCTCAACGACCTTTTCCGAGGCCCATTTTTAAACACCATGACTGTGGAGTCAATTGCCGCCCCGCGTTGACAGCAGGTAGCTTCAATATCAATGAGAGTGCTTCGCAGTTGAAGGTGGTTGAAAAGGCCAGTGGCGAGAGGAAATGGAAAAAACAAGGTAGTGAAAGAAGAGAGGTCCAAAAAACAACAGAAAGACAAAGGACAAAAGAAAGATAGGAATGAAAGGCAATTTTCTTCTTCCCCTCACAGCCCCGCAGCTGGGCCTAGGTCATCCGCTATGAAAACTGCCAACTCCTACAAAAGGTTCAGGCCGAAATTCCCTGCGCACCTTACTGGTCAAATCATATTTGCGCCACGTGGCAGCTGACAGCACTGCAAGGCATTTCAAGATCAAAGAGGCCAAAAACATGCAATGACATTTGACAGTAGCTAGCAGCCCTGTGAAAGACGAGAGCAGCGTGAAAAAAATGGGCTGCTGCAGCGAGCAAGAGACAGCGAGAAAGATGACATGCCTCAGTTAGTGCGCTATGCTTGAGCCTTGAGGCGAGCATCCTGCCGAAGCCCCTGAGGTTTGCAAGATGTGACTGTACTTTAGACGATGTTCCTTTCTATATTTTCTTCTGCGCGCACAGCAGAGGCGCGGTGTGGGCCGAGGTGACAGACTCTCAGTCCACGGCATTGCAGATGCAGCTATCACAGGCGTGCATTGGTGCTTTTGTCAGGCAACCCAGTAGCGAATAGGCCCAGGCCTTTCTACTCTGTGCAGGTGCAGCAATCATGCATGCGGCAGCTTTGCCACCCAGAGAAGCAGAGCACCATACGAAGATCATACATGTCAAGCCAAAGCAGGGAAGACAAAGACGGGCTTGTTAGTGCTTGAGTCACTGGAGTCGCTAGTCGATGCCTACTTCAATCTGCATATTGCCTGAGCTGCGGGTGGGTCCTAGGCGGGAGCTTCTTATTCGAGCTGTGCGCAAAGGCGCGCAGCTGGAGGAGCTGGAGTGAAAAGACACACGACATGACTGAAAGTGAACATGACTGAAAGAGAGAGAAAGCGAGAGAGAGAGAGAGAGAAGAGTGCGCCCGCACAGGGCTAGCCTGAACAGCGTCAGGACAAAGTCAATTCCCTGACTGATGAGGTCATCAAAAAGGATGTAATCCGCTCAGAATTGCTTAGCTATGTGTTTGATTTTGATTGCTGTCCAGCTATGCCTGAGGTCGTAATACACAATTTGCGACAAGACCTGTCAGGCTCGGCACTGGAGCAGGACGCCTTGAGTTCTCCAAGACCTGTTTTGTTGCTTAGAAAAGGCCAGCAGCAAGAATTGAAGCAGCCGATGCCTGAGTTCTTCCTACAAATTCAGCCTCACGACACTTGCGACTTACATTGAGTGATGCCATGGGGCCATAATGAGAGTTGAGAGTTGGTGCTACGGATGGGCTCGCGTGTAGAAATTCAGAAACCTCAGGCAGCAGCTTCAATTTGAGCAGCACCTGCAGCAGATGCAGCAGCAGCATTTGCAGCAACTGCAGCAACAGGCCTTGTGAGTTGCCGTGTGGCTATTGTTTGGAGGTTTGACATGTTCCACGGGCCAACTGTGCCACAATTCTGGCACACCCCTTGGCACCATATGATAATACGTATGTTTATTTCTTGTGCGGCACGTGCTACATCGTGCTACTGGCTGCCAGGCGTGCCAAATTCAGGAATTGCAACTCTTGCAAATCCAACGCTTGTGCTGCCGGCTGATCTTTTAAACGTTTGCTCTTCTTTTTAAAAATGTCGTCCATTCAGAACAGATGGATAAGGCTTCGAGCTAACACCATAACAGTTACACCTCATATTGCCAGGCAAAAGGCAGCTCAGACTGAACAAGAGGCTAGGCGATTGATGATGGATAAGAGTTCTTTCTTTCCGAATTAGAAATGCCCAATGGTCGAAATGCAGGCTCTGTGTCTTCCTCTTGAGCCGTCCTTCGGTTCTTCAACGTTGGCTGCTCAGGACAAGGTTTGTACGAGTCCTCTGGTCATGTTGATGCGTCTCGGAAAGTCGATACAACCCTGCATGCGCGCGGGGAATGTGTGCCCACTAGCAGCAATAACATGTTGCATAATCATAATCAGATATAGTCAGCCCATGCCGGCAGGTGACATGTTTGCTGTGCAGTATTTCGATGCAGTATTTTGCCTGGAAGATGTTGCGCTTGTCCTATTTTGGGACTATGATGCCAATGGAGTTGCAGTGACAACTGCGGCAGCAATACGGGCCTGGCAACGAGCTGCTCCTTTGCTAAGGACAGTCGTATCTGATCAGTTGGCGGAAGTCACTGGGTGCGTGTGTTTCGGATCGCTAGTAGGTTGGAGGGCATCGCTGGTAGGTTGGAGGCCGTTTGCTTGGGACTGGAGTGCTGCGCGAGGGTCTCGGACGGGGTCGCTTTTGCGTCATACAATACTGCGCAGGTAGTGCAGGGCAGGACTTTCAAAACGTATGGAGACTTGGGATTGCTAGAAGGAACACCTTGCCATTCAATGATGCTGTGCAATGGCATCTCTTTGCAGGGGTTGGACGCTCTGTGTGGTGCGAACTTGACAGAAATCATCGCTGTAAACATTGCTTGGCTGACATTGATGGTTACACCCTGCCCCGGGGCTTCCAGTCTGTGCACTTACCTGAGTTGCTTTGACCTTACCCGTGCACTTGTATGTTTAACACTGCTTGCAACCGAAGGTGAAGATTATACTTAAATGGTCAAAGATGACTCCAGGAAGTGTCCAGAGGTCTTTTTAAGCAAATGCCCAGGGAGTTGGGAAACTTTGACCTTTCAGGCCGCCTGCAGCATAGACTCAGAGCCAGCTTCATTGGGAGAAAAGGCGTGAACGCTCATAGTGACTGTACAAGAGATCTTTTGTTGATTTGTGCAGTATATGGTCTTCAACATTGCTAACCTGCAGGTGGACCTGCAATTTTTTCAAGCTGGGTTGGGCACGCGCTGACTCTCCAATATCCCAATAGACATGGCGCGCAACTGGCAAAGATTGTATCGTTCACCAGACTGTTGCTGCGCTCTCCGGCGCCATGACGACTTAGGAGGATATCAAGTTGATATCAGTTTCATTGTGTGACATATCTTCATCCAACTTAGAGCCAGATTGATGGTTAAGGATGACATTCAGCGTTCCTAAGACACCTGGAGACACTGGAGAGCATTCCCAAAGTGACCAATCACATAGCAAGCTTCATCATTTGCATGTCCCGGTCCCGCTCTCGCTCTCCAAAGAGGTCGCAGGTGCGTTTAGTTTTTGGAACATGTGCGAAAAGGAGCTCCAGTATGATTGCCCTTACTACGACCCTCTTTTCACAGGATCTGCCTCGTGAATTTGCGGATGGAGGCCAACAGTCGCACGCGCAGCGATGTTTGAACACAATCATGAGGCAGAATGGAATCAAAACTTGGCAACTGGGCTATGCTGAAAGCGCAGCAGTGCCTGTCCACAGTGTGAGGCGGCAGAAAACTGCTTTGTTGTGTGCCTTGGCGCTGAATTTCGCTTTTGACACTAATAATATAGAGCCTATGTGGAGCTCAGGTGTTGTTTGGCGGCCCTGCAAGTGGAAAGACCACGCTTGGCAGAGTCCTGACGATGCCCGACTGCAGCATTTCCGCAGCAGTGTGTTTTCGGCTTTGGCTTTTCAGAACGCCAGTGTTGGTAGATCCTGAGTCAACTTCCGAAAACACATGCATTAGCAATTATAAAGTATATATTCAGGTTGCTTCGCGACGATAACCATCCGTAGTTTTTGCTTTGAGAGAGATCATCCATATTGTGTAGTGTATTGTAACCACTCTATGTTTGACCCCCTTGAAATGGTACATTTTTCAGGGGATCCAACTTATATCCAACAATGCGTACAAATCGTTCATTATATCGCACTGCGGGTCTTATTATATATTGGATCATGTCTCACTGAAGCGTGCCACTTCATGTTCTTTACCCTGCACTCCCAGATCATAAGGCACGGCACTTCCAAATCAAAAACCTTGTACTTTCCCTCTGTTTTCTCCCACCACCATTTCCCCTCCAGACACACCTCAAGATGCCGGATATATATATATATATTTTTGATATATATATATATAATTCCGTTCCCGAACGAAAAAGCACACCCCCAGCTAAAGCTGGAGCATTGCACGCACCCCAACACAATAACGCCCCTCACCTTCGGGGGTGGATTTCCACTTATGTCTTTCTGGCCTTTTGATACTGTATGATGCCGGTCTAAGGGCACGGCTACCGGGGTTCTGCCACATTTCTTGCGGTGACCTTGCACGACTTGCGACAGCTTATGTGGGCTCTCCATTCCTCAGCAGCATTGCCAGACAGCTGGCCGATCGCCGTCGGCGCAAAGCTGCATTCAGCCGCTTGACTGATGTTTTGCACAAAGTTATTGCCGAAGGCCTGCGTTCCACAGATGCAGTGGGAACCATCATTGATGGTTTGCGAGTTTCAGAGTTGCCTGCATTTGAGCAGGTGACGGGTTGTGATTTGATTGCGCTCATCAGCCTTTCCTGTCCACCTAGTGAGATGTTATCGCGATTGAGCCAAAGAGAGTGTCGAGACGGCGACGAAAGACTTGGCCTTGCAGAAATGGGTCATGATCATGCCAGCAGGGTGAAGGCTTTTCAAGAGCGAGAAGTAGTTGAAATTGAGCAGTTGAAAGGACGTGAGGCTTTTCTTCCACTCGATACTGGAGCTGGAAGTGTTGAGGAGTTAGCCGACAAAGTGTTGGGCTTCGCAGCACCATTGATGCAAATAGCCCGTGGAGCAGCTCCAAATAGGGAAGGCGTTCCGACTACAGTAGACTGGACAGCCCAACTAGCTGCAACTGCGGAAGACTTGGACCGGCAGTTCTACCCGGATGGAAAGCCTCGCAGCTCGATGAAAAGGGCGAGCGCCTGCGTGTGAGATGCAATGCAGAAGGTTGAACCCCAACATTTGACAGGCAGGTGCGAACGGGGCTTCCTTTCTGAGCCCAACCTTCTTGAACAACCATCAAAATTGCTGCCAGAGTCCGTATTCTCCATTATATTCAAAACCTTTATATACTGCCAGGTGCTTCGCGTGTGTGATAGCAACCCTTTCCATGTTGCATGCTTTGTAGTGATTGTAGTGTGTGGTGTGAGGCCACTGTGCAAGAAACACAACAAAAGGGTTTCAACAGAGTCCATTTTGCCTCCCAAAGAGTCCTCGTATGCTCAATTTTTGGCACCATAATGAATATGAAGCCGCTTCATGCTGCTGCATTTGCCTCAAGAATGCCATCCTGAGCCGTGTCGGGGGGGCTTCGTGACCGTGTGCCAGCTGCGGAGCGCCACTCAACTGCAAACCGAAGTCATTTGGGTTTGGGTGCCACAGCACGATCTTCATAGTTCCTCAAAGCGCTGTGTGCGTGCAAGGCTTGCTGGCTCCCACTGGCACGCGCCACAGGCTGGCTTGAATAGTTACACTTTATTGTTTTTGCTCGACACCTGCGCAATTTTGGCAGGACAAGGATGGCCGTGTACTTTGCACGGGCCTTGCGAATTCAGTCACGTGCAGAGTGAAATTAGTGGATTTGTTGTCAGCATTTGCATTTGTGAGCCCATCTGCCATGAAGTCTCAGTCTCCCGGACAGATGAGAGACCACAAATGTGACCAGGCAGGCTTCAATGCCTGGAACTATACCACAAGGGGAAACTGTAGGGCCTGTAGGGGTCATAGAGTCATATAGAGGCAGCTTGGCTGAGCTATTGTGGCAGGATGAGTTGCCCCATCTCCCAGCTCAACTCAAATGCCCCGCAGACTCCAGGTCGCGATAGTTCCCACGGCAGGGCCTCCAACCTCGTGCAGTGTGCTGACCACCTGCCATGGAGCGTCCGTTGGTCGGAAAATCCGCCATGTCAGCTGGTCGTGCGCCGTTTTATGTGAGATATCCCAAGTGGACCAATGTGCAGCCTGGCTATCCATTCATAGTTATTAATGTGTGAATGTCGATGGATGATGATGGATGTATATATATATATAATATTATTTGAAGAACACTTAACTACTGAACTTCGATTCTGGGCATGCCTGGGAGGCTGCTAGGCGCAATTCGTTTGCATTTTGTTTTGTGCATCTTTTTGGCAATTTGTTTTAAGAAGCACGTGGCATATTTTTTTTGCATTTCATTTGTCGCTCATGGTGCTCAAGGAAGTCGTCAGGACATACTTATAATTTACCCCGCACCTCACATTTCTTTGTCACACATTCACCAAATAAACCGGATTCCTCCAACACGGCCGTTGTATGCTTCTCCAATTGAATTGTCAAACTTGATATCATGATAGATAGTCTTACTTTTTGCAATAATCGCATTCTTGTCGAGCGTTAGTTGTTAAATTGGTTGCGCAACACGGAGCAACCGCCGAAGTGAGCAAGCAAAAAAGTTAGAAGGCACTAGGAAAATATTTTCACAGCAAGAGAGTATACATAAGACGTTGCAGTATATGTGTTGGGCCTTGGTCAGCTTTTCTCCATATGAGCGGTCATCTTGGTATTTGTTTAACATTTTTGGTTTTCCATGTGACTGGTTGTCGTATCGTACACGGTATCTTGAACTTTCTGCTGAGAATGTTTGGTCCTGCTTCTGTTGCCATCCAAGATTGTTTGCGGATGTTCGTTGGTCGTCCTTTAAGTTTCTCAAAGTGCACGCATACCCCACAGGCACCTTAACCCTAGATGCAAACGGCGCCCCTTCTTCTTCTCCTCCTACTGCTTCTTCTTTCTTCTTCTTTTTTCTTCTTCTTCTTCTTCTTCTTTGGCCGCCACTAGTTTTGTGGCCCGGAATGCTTCCCAAGCATTTCTTGCATTTTCGCACACCAGATCCATTGGTCCATTGAAGAGATATTTGGTGGTATTCAACGCTGCTCGTTAATGAGCCATGCCATGCAATTGGTGACAAACAAGCACGTTTGCCACTTCAGCTGCTGCCAAGCATGGGCAGCTACTGGACACCAGCCAGTTTGAAAGTCGAGCACCCCGCCCAGACTCAAAGACAACCTTCATTGTAAATGGTTCAGCCTCATTCATCCCTTCAGATTTTCACCACATTCCTTCCTTGATACCTCAATGTCAAAGATTGAATCGCCTCTGTGTTGCTTCCTCCAAGAGAACCTTCACCGACATGCCACGAACAGTCACTCAGAAGACTTCGCTCGAATCGTGGTGGTGGTGCACTCCAACACCACCTGTGCTAGTGGACAGAGGGTGGACCGCAGGGAGCCCGAATTGAAGCCCGTCCCTTCAGCAAAGCGTTTGGAGCCTGTGCTTGTGAATACGAAGCCGTCCAAGTGCTTGTGGCCCAAACTGGTCTAAGTGTAGATTAAACATGTCAATCCTTTTGAGGAGGGAACATCTCAGAACTACTGTGTATACAAAAATTGCCTTTCTTTCCGTGCCTCCAGCCAGCATGCTTCAAGTGGCCTTTCATGTTTGCGGTTCATGCATGATTTGAACACTCCAGGTAGCACGTTTGTGGCACGGTTGTCCGTCGGGTGAGGTCACTCTTGCTCTTCTACGTGACGGCCGGGTTTGCATTCTTGACGATTCATGAAGGCTTGTGGCCAGAAACTGCAGTATATATGATCGCGCAGATCATCACAACAATAGGTTCGGGCCTTTAAAAGCTTGATCAGCAGAAGAAGTGTAGTGTCATGGATTGCTTGGACGTAATGCAAGAATGTCACAATTCATAATGTCGTTCTTTAAGGTTATGGTGATGCGGTTCGACCAAGCCCGCATGCTCAAGCGTTTTTGACTGTCTATGTCCTTGCTGGTGCATTGATTTTTACAAATGTGGCCTCAGATGCGGTGGACTTTATGTTCCTAGGATGCTACTAGTAGCAAGGACGCTATTAGGTGGAGGCCATCGTAAGTAGGTTGGAGACCATCACTACTAGGAACAAGAAGCTACTAGTAGCTCCTGGCATCGCTACTAGGAACAAGAAGCTATATTGAATGTTCCCAGGATTTGATTGGAAGCTTCACTGCACAAACCCTATTTGAGCCAATGACGCCTTTCAGACACTTATCTCGCATTTGAGGCTTCGCAAAACTCAAAGAGGAGTGGACCGCACATTGATGCGGGTCTTGGCAAAATTGCGAGGTCAAGGAGACGAGCAGTACCTTGGCAGCCTTGGCAGCTGTCAAATCCTGTTGCAAAACAGCTCCATGTTGTTACTTGTGCTATGGTGTGACGCCAAGGCGGGTAATGCTCAAGCACCACCCTCTTGGATCATCAGCGATTCTTCTTGGTATGTGTGTCTTCGTGTGGGTGTATTTCTTTGCAACTTACGACCCTCGCTGCACTAGCCTGTTATGAACGTGCAGCATTAGCAGTGGGCATGTGCATGTTGTTTCCGTCAAGGAGCGGTGTACGTGTTCCTACGGAACCACGCGCGTCCCGCATTGTGTGGATGGCTTGGAATGCCCTGAAACTGGGGGATACCAAAGCAGTGTTCACGAGGCCCTGTACATGGACGCCTGGCCGCACCAGTTTGGCTAACTCAAAATCACAACAAGCATGATCAATAGAAAGGGAGAGAGAGAGAGAGATCAATATTGTTGGCTGGACTGGCTCTTCCAAAAACGTTGCAGAGGCAGTGATTACATTTTCGACGGTTGGCTTTGGAGATGTGGCTCCTAAGAGCAAGCTCGGGCGGACCCTGGGAAGCGTTTTCATGGTGCTTGGTGTGGCATCTCTAGCACTTCTAGCTGCCTGCATGAATAACGCTCAGATCATATGCAAGAAACTCAGCAACCCTGCATGCATCAGAGTCACTGACAGAACACACACACACACACATCAGGTTTCTGAGCTTTTCGTTGTGATTGACGACCACAAGAACTTCCACAGGAAGCGAGTGCGCTGCACTCTTGAAGTGTTTCAGCAAATTGACCGGGATAAAACAGGTCGGATCAGCAGGAATGAGTTTCTCCGCTACATGCTGGTTCGCCAGGGCAAGGCTGGGGCCAAACAGCTGAACACAGGTTGCTTTGTTTTGACACAGAATTATGCATTTTCTTGATGCAGACAATGGGTAGAAACTCTCAGAAGCCAGCTGGAGGTAGATATAGACGCGTTGGATCAGCTGGATCAGCTGTTTGACGAGATAGAAGCTTGGCTGCAATCGGTGCCAGTTTGGCACGGTCACCTCGGTCTTGTTTGTGCCGAGGACAAGAACAAGAATGGAAAGCTATCCTTTGAAGAGATTGAAGGGGTTATGCTGGACTGACTCGCTTGGCTTTCGCTCAAAAACTGAGCTGCCATGATTCTGCCGGCCGTAGCCGAATTCAACGTAGCTCGAGCGGCACCAACACTGACTAGCAAAGGACAGAGCCAAGGTCTGAAATGAGGCATGAGGCATCATGAGGCACTATATTCTATACAGACGGAGATCTACCATGATTTACAGGTCTATAATACCTATGATGAGTTGTACTTACCAGTGGTTATATGAAGCCAGGTCGGGGGCTGTTTTCAAAGTGGGCACGCAATGCCAACATGGACCATATTGATTCATATGGTCTTCCACCACGTCAACTGCTGGTGTTTCATTGCTCAGGCCTCTTGAGGCCGATTTCTAGCCCGAAGGAGAAGGATTATATACATAGTGACAGAGTGAGAAGTCATCATCCATGAGAAGATGCCTTCTTCTGCGGTTCAACAGAACATGTTTATCATGTTGCACAGCTTTCCCTGTTGCTTGCCTTCAATCTTCCCGTCCCCTCCACTTCACAACACTATATATTCAGAAAGTAAGATTCTCCTTCCCGACCATCTTGGAGTTGCAAACCAGAGCATCTTGTATCCAACCCAAGTTCCAGATGTTTGAACAGCTGTTTGGACCGAAGTCATTTACTGTATAATTATGTACTGCCAAGTGTAGGTTTATGTCGGGCACGCCAGCCATAGATACAAGGAGCCAAAATAGTTTTATAAAGCAAAAACAAAGCAAAAAAAAAGCAAAAGGCAAAGCAAACAAAAAAGCAAAAAAATGTAGCTGTGCGTATTTGTCGCTTTTTTTCACTTTTTTTTCGCTTTATTTTCGCATTTTTTTTCGCTTTATTTTCGCTTTTTTTTCGCTTTATTTTCGCTTTTTTTTCGCTTTTTGTTTTGCTTTGTTTTTGCTTTTTGCTTTGTTTTTGCTTTGTTTTTGCATTTTCCTACACTGTAGGTGTTGGGACATTGGGAGAGTTGTGGCGGAGATGGCAGCGAGGGGTGGCCTTGGAGATTCCTATGCAGCAGCCTTTGTTGGTGGACTGTGCGCGCAGCCGATCCAGTTCATGCACCACAAGAAAGTGCCAGTTCGAATATCTGGGAGTGCATGTCAAAAAAAGCCGCGTACACAACTGCTTGCACAATGGAAGCCACCTGGGAGAGCAGCCTTGCAGCAAAGAAGCAGTTGCCAGACACTACTGAGGATCCTGCGCCAAGTTCATTGGGCCTTGAGTGGTCCAGGGACACCTTTTCATTCCATGTGTTTGCATCCTTACTTGATTGATTGCTTGGGGGCAAGTGCCAAAACGTTGCCTTGAAGCGGCTGAATCTTCCGTGGTTCGAGGACGAGACAAACTTCTGGAGCGAAGGCCTTGCTGTGGTTGGAAAATTGCTATCAAAGGAGTTCTTTCCTACTGGACTAACTGTTCCAAAGGATTGTGATATCTTGTTAAGATCTTTTTTGGTGTGTAGGTGAGGGAGAGGCAGGGTGGTCCTGGTCAAAAGCCTACTGGGCGAAAGGGCCCGAGGCTCAGTTAGTGTGCCGAATTTGCCATTTACAACGGGCTTAATTTGTGTAAACTGAATGCCTGAGGTGGGACACAAAGATTGCCCCTGACAGCTATGGCGAGTTCTGGCCTTTGAAGCAGCACTTTGTGCGAACAGTGTTGAGCATTTGTTGCTCAAGGATTCAAGGATCTGAAACCAGACAAATTGAGCCAAGCTTTGCTTTCGGGCTCTGCGCGGCTGACAAGGTATTTGCAAAGTTGGGCCCCGGATGCTGTGCAGATGAATTCCTTGGCTGTGCCTCGTTGCAAGTCTTGGTTGTGCGACAGTCCGCCGAATGACATCTCGCCGACGGTGAGGCCAACTTGCAGCGAAGCCCCGATCAGCCTTGGCAGACAAGTATGGCCATGAGAGGGGCTAAGACTCACTTTTTGCAGCAAGCGAGGTGGAGACACAAGTCTGGTGAGACAGACTAAATCCTACAACGAGGGAGTGCAGCAGCGGTAGGGGAGCGCCATTGAGGTTTGCATCGCTACCTGTCGAACCGAAAGAGATTTTGGTGCCAAGCTTAACTTGCTCCGGGACATGCCTCACAAGACTCAATCAAACATGATATATGATATGGATGCGTGTGCAGGTAGTCAACAGCAGCAGCAGCGGATCATATGCTGGGCCCTGGTTTGTTTGTGAGTCAGGAGTCAGAATGCCTGCTACGCCCCGTGCATGTCAGGCATCCCTCTGCCGTGATTCCCAAACTGCGGATGTGGTAGCCTTTGATGCAGAGTCGCAATCCCAGTGTTTTTTGGGCGGCAAAGGCTTGCTGCTTGACGTTGAAATCCTCTTTGGTATCGACCTTCTCCGACAGGTGGGTGCCAGACTTTGGGTATGGCTCCGACAACCCGATTTCCGTCTTGCAGTTGGTCTGCTACCTGGGCCTTCGGCCTTCGCTGTTCCTTAGATGTCTTCTCTGCGCCTCAGCTGCTTGACCTTGTGCTGAGGCGTTTCCAGCTTCCCGGAGGGTCATCAGCCCAATGAAGAGAGAACACATATCAAAAGCCTTTTGAGAGCACAGCTTTCCTGTTATTGCACATGATGCAGGTTCAGACCAAAGCAACCTGAGGTGTATGTGGTGCAGCTAGGCCCTTTGGGCAAGAAGCTTCCACAGGCTGAATGGGAGAACCATTCCTTCACGCCTCCTTAGATTGCAAGAAGTTTCGCCAGCAACGCAGCAACTCACCTACTTGTCAGGAAGTTAAGCTGATGCTTGTGAACCCTGACGTAGCACTCCCGGAGAGCCTTTGTTCAGTTGTGGGCACCGATAGATATTTCAGTGGGTGGCCGAGCAGCCAAGGTTCTGAAAGTGGGCTTTGCAGTGAATTGCAAGGCACGTGTGCGGTGACAAACGCAGCTTTGCGTCCTTTGCGTCAAACTTGCCAACTGATACAGGGTTCAGTTCAGATGTTTGCAGTACACTAGAGTCCCTCAGCAAGACACGCAGCACTCTGTGATCTTTCTTTTCGGGGCTTACCCAATTGACACAGATCAGTCTTTGACCGGATGTGGTCCAACCATATCCAGCCCATCTTCAGCCAACCTTGCTGTACAGGATGCTCAGAAGCTCGTCCGAACAGGAATCGCGGTGACGCAGGCCTGACTGGCTTCTGACTGGACAAACATCATTCGTCGGTCGGATGATGCACACATTTCCTGGCGACCGAGGGCTCGGTGGTAGACGTCCGGGAGAGGCACTGGCAGGGATCAAAGCAGTGATGCGTCCTTTCTTCTCCCTTGTCGGTCATTCCAGGTGTGCCAATACAATGGGCCTTGCCTGGGGTGCCGAGCAGACACTTGGTTGCAAATTCCAGTTCAGCATCCATTTTGACATGGGTTCCTGCTCAAGAAAGGTTTTCAATGGATCCATCTTGGATAGTGTAAGGGGTACAGACAACTTCATTACCATGAGCCGATTTCACTATGAGTTGGCCGTAAGCCAGGAGTCCCCTAGGCCAGGACTCCGCACTTTATTGTCCATTCGCCTGTTGCAATCGATGTGAACTGCTAGTGTCATGTATTGCCTTTGCGCTATGTAGATACTTCTTCAGGGTTTTGTGAGAATGTGGGCGTTGTTTGATGAAAAGCTATCTTGGAATGTTCAACCACAGCTGCAGTGCTGGCGGATCCAAGCGCAATATCAGATATGCAGATATGCTGATATGCTGCGCTTAGTGACTAGTGACGATGCAAATTAGCCTGTACATCTCGCAAGCTCAACCCAAACACGTTGCGTCCCAGGTACTTCCTTTATATACTTCGAACCTTCTCATTGTGTCATTTGGAACAAAACTTTGCACTCTTTGGCATTTTGATGCATGACACTATGCCTCCTCCGGTCTATGTGCCAACTAGGTCCTTGAGCCTTCGGCGAGCAGCAAAAACACTCCTTCGCTGCGAGCTTCTCAAGGACCAACAGAAGCAGGTTCAACGTGAGTCATGCAGATGGTTTGGCTTCTGGAATTGCAGCTTGAAGCCACAAGTGTCGACTGCTCAATCTTGCTTGTGCTCCCGGCCCCAAAAAGTTGACGTTGTTAGTGGTGAACTATTCCTGAACGAGGACAAGAAGTGTGCCTGCTCTGATTGGTCCAGTGAGCAGTTGACGCGACTTGCTTAGGTTTGACTCTGGAACTTGTGTAGAGAGCGCAAAACTAGAAGAAAAGAGAGAGGGGAAAAAAGGAACAGTGAGACCCTTCCCTTTTTCCACACGTATTTCTTCTTGTAGGACATCTCGTACATGATTCATTTTGTGCTTTGCATCGCCATGCTGAGGCCAGAGCAGGTCCACTATGCAGCCCGATACTTTGTTGTTTGATCTGGGAACATTTTCTGCGTGTACTTCTACTGGGTGAGCAACATTAAAGTCTATAACATGGTCTTGGACCTTGAGCTGTGGGGAATCGCACAGGCCTTGGATGCATGGGTGGCTTTGCGGCTGCCGAGCTCCTACTGTCAAGATTTGTTCTGACCAATGAGCAGCTGTAGAGAACAAGCCGGGAGTGTTGGTTTCACTGCGGAGGTACTACTTGCTCCACTGACTCATATATTTCGCATGCCGGCCAATGCCTGGATCCCGGCCCATACATGATAAGCTTCAGAATGCTTCTGCCCGGATGAGCTTTGCAGGTAACTCTTTGAATGTGGGCATCTGAGCCTGCAAAAGTGCATGAGCCTGGGCAAGCAGCGGCACTGAAAGTGTGCAATGCTGCTGTGTGTACAGTACCAGTTTTACCAGGTTTGCCAGCGCCGTGCACGAGGCCTCATAGCACACTAAAATGACTTTTTTAGACACCCGAGGGTTCCTGCAAACAGGTTTGGGCTGATGAGATTGCCATGAGGTACTGCACAGGCACCGCACTGGCTACCCTAATTGTTCCAAACTGCCGCCCCACAACGTGGTGCCTGACGTACAGTAAGAAATTGCTTGTCAAAATCTTGTAGAGCCAAGAGATGACATGTTGGAAAACTGTGTCAATCGTTTCCTGTTTCCTTTAAGTTGCATGTCAGGCTTGCAGTCACGTTTCTGCAGGTTGTCACCTGCCTAGCCTTCAAGGTTGCTTATAGCATCCAACTGCGGCCTGTGAGCCACGCAAATGGTTCGAATCCCCCCCAGCAACAGAAAGAGTAAGGAACGCAAAACCGAACCTGGAAAAACAGCCCATGGCACAAAATCTGATAACTCTGATGAACTTATTGTGGAAAGTGACGGTTGCTGGTACAGGGTGGTGTGTTGTGATGCATGTCGGTACATACCGAAGCTTGATCAAGCCGCGATCGCAAAAGCAGAGCTTTCGCTGGCAGCGCCGTTTGTTTTGAGCCCATACCACTCCGCATTGGTAGCGGAGCCCTCGAACAGCGAGGGCGGCCCTGACACCTGGGCCTTAGGATCGGATGGCCGACACGGCGCCGGAGGCCATCCCGGTTCCTACATGGGAGGGGGCGGAGTCCCCCGGTGGCGGAGCCACCCCACCGCCGGAGGCGGAAGTGAGAGGCAGCGCCTCCACCCCTGGCCGAGCCAGGGAGCGTGGCAGGGCCACGGAGGAGCAAGACCGAGGTCGTTCTCGGCATCGTGGTCGAGGACAAGGCCGTGGACGTGACAACCCACGAGCTCGAGCACCACAAGACAAAGGGAAGAGCAAAGGCTCA